TTTAAGATTCTGGCAAATGAAAGTACATCGAACTGTTTAGCCTGTGTTGTAAGCACAGAAGCAGAACTGCTAGTATTATGTAGTAGTGATTACTATCTAAAGTCTGACAGGAAATCTGAACAACTTATTTTATAGGGATGAAAAATTATTAGTAGGCTACTAATATATAGTATCTGCCCAAGGGGGCAGATAACAATGTATATTTTATAAATCAGAGGAAAAATAGAAATGGACTCCTTTTTTTTGAGCTAAACTATTACTATATACTTAGATACCCTAAAAAAAAACAAAACATCATTTTTCAATACATTAAATATACATAATAAAAATAATTGCAAGGTATTTTTTTCCTTTCATCTAAGTCAGTGTTCAGCAAACATTTTTTTCTTCCATTTTCTTTTCTGTTTTGTTTTGTTTTTCACATAGGGTCTTGCACTGGCCTAGTTCTCTTGATTCTCTTGCTTCAACTTTCTGACTTTTGGAATTCATAGGTGTGCTCTATCCTGCCCAGTTTAGCTAACTGTTTTTCTATAAAGGCTAAGAGTGAATACTTTTTGGAATTGTTGGCCATGTAGTTTCTGTTGAAACTACTCAACTCTGCCATTGTAGGGTGAAAACAGCCATAGACAGCACATAAATAAATGAGACTCTGATTAAAACCTTATTTACAACAACCAGCAGTCGAGTGGATTTGACTGGCAGGCCATGTTTATTGATTTTTGGACTATATAAAAAATTCTGGCAAAAAGAACTCACAAGCAAGTTTACTTGAACTTAGCATTGGAGAATGGAAGTGATTCTTCTTCATTTCAGATTTAGTTGTCCAGGATCTGTTTGGCTAAGTCTCTAAATTTTATAATCACCCACCATAATTAGAACTGAGGAGCTTCATTTAAAATTTAAAAAAAAAAATTTAAGTTAGCATATAAAGTGAGTTTCATTAGGATATTCTCTCTGTCTCTCTCCGCTCTCCCCCCATCTCATTATATTCTATTCTTATTCATTCCCCTCTCCCACTGCCTGTTATCCCTTCAGACACCTCTTGCTGATCCTCAGTAGTACTTCTTTTTGGCTTCATGGCATAGGAATTCCATTACTCATCTCTCAAAATCTCTTCCACTCTTCTTATGTCCCCTTTCTACTTTAATCCTACAGAGAAGTGGGGTGAAGAGAGGGATAAGCATTTAAATCTAGACTCCTCATATAAAAGAAACCATGTTTAATTTGTCTTTCTGAATCTGACTTACTTCATTTAATATGATAATCTTTTCCATTCATTTTTCTTGCCGATGTCATCTTTTATTTTTTCTTTATGACTGGTAGAATCTCTTGTGTATGCCTACTACACTTTTTAAAATCTATTCATCTGCATATGATTTCATTTCTTACCTGCCGTGAATAGTACAGCTATAACCATGGATGTACATGTATGTTTGTAATATATTGAATTCAGTGTCTTTTGCTTATCTACTTAGGTGTGGTATTGCTGTATTGTAGTAGTTCTACTTTTTGTTCTTTTGAGGACTGCCTTCCATGGTAGCTGAACCAGTTTACCTTCCCACCAGCACTGAATAAAGGTTTCCTATATCCTACCAATGTTTTGTTGTTGATTGTTTTCTTGATGAGAGCCATTGTGACGGGGTAAAATGGACTTTCAAAGCAGTTTTCATTGCATTTTATGGATGACTAAGGAGATTGAATACTTTTTCAAGTATTTACTGTTTTTTTTTTTTTTGGAGAACTGTTCATTACCCTGTTTGCTGATGGGGTGATCTTTTTTGGGGTGGTGGAGTTTTTTGTAATTGTTGTAGTTCTAATTAATATATTCTACTTACTAGTCTATCATCTGATAAGTTGGCAAAGTTTTTTCTTCCATTCTGTAGACTGTCTTTTCACTATGGTGTTCATTTAATTTACTGTGCAGGATCTTTTAAATTTCATATAATTCCACCTGTCAATTCTAGGGATTATTTCTTATGCCATTAGAGTCATTTTCAGAAAGTCCTTTTTTCCTCCCTCTCTCTTTTTTTTAAATTTAATGTATTTGTTTATTTTACATCCCAACCTCACCTCTCCTCCATCTTCCCCTCACACCCCACCCCCTTCCTTCTGCCCCCCTCCCTCATCCACCCTTCCTCTGTGTCTGCTCAGAAAGGGGCAGACCTCCCATGGGAATCACCAAAGCATGACATATCAAGTTGCCATTAGACCGAGCTCCTTCCCCTGTATTGAGGCTGGGCAAGGCAATCAGCATGAGGAATAGCTTCCCAAGAGCCAGCCAAATCACTAGGGACAGCCCCTGCTCCCATTACCAGGAGTTGCACAAATAGATCAAACTACACAGCTGTCACATATGCAGAGTGCCTAGGTGGGTCCCATGCAGGCTCCCTGGTTGTTGGTTCAAACTCAGTGAGTTCCCATGAGCCAGACTAGTTGTTTCTGTGAGTTTTTCTGCAATGTCCTAACCCCCCTGCCTCCTATAAGCCCTCCCTCTCCTCAGTAGTACTCCCCGAGCTTGGCCCAATGTTTGGCCTTCAGTCTGAATCTGTCTCCATCAGTCACTGGATGAATGCTCTCCAATAACAATGGGGGTAGTCACCAATTCGATCATGGGATAGCCAGTTCAGGCTATGTGTCTACTGCTGCCAGGAGTCTTAGCTGGGGCCCTCATTGTAGACTCGTGGGAGTTTCCCTTTCATCAGGCTTCTATCTGACTCAACACTCTCCCCTCCCCACCATACTCTACAACCCAGTCCCTCAAGTTCCTAAGCCCACCCACGCCTAGTCCACCCAGGAGATCTCCTCTATTTCTGCTTCCCAGGGAGATCCAATTGTCTCCTTGGGCTCTCCTTGTTACCTAGCCTCTCGGAGGCTGTGGATTGTAGCATGGTTATTCTTTACAATGCAGTTAATATCCACTTATGAGTGAGTACATACCATGTTTGTCTTTCTGGGTCTGGGTTACCTCACTCAGGAAGATTTTTTTCTAGTTCCACCCATTTGTCTTCAAATCGCCTGATGTCATTGTTTTTAAAAGCTGAGTAATACTCCGTTGTGTAAATGTACCTCATTTTCTTTATTCATTTTTCAGTTGAGGGGCATCTATGTTGTTTCTAGGTATTGGCTAACACAAATAGAGCTGTTGTGAATGTAGTTGAGCAAATGTCCTATGGTATGATTGAGCATTCTTTGAATATATGCCCTAGAGTGGTATTACTGGGTCTGAAGGTATATTGATTCCCAATATTCTGAGGAACCACCATATTGATTTTTTTCTATAGTGGCTGTACAAATTTGCACTCCCACCAGGAATAGAGGAGTGTTCCTCTTGCTCCACATCCTCTCCATTTTAAGCTGTCATTTGTGTTTTTGATCTTAGCCATTCTGACAGGTGTAAGATGGAATCTCAGAGTTGTTTTGATTTGCATTTCTCTGATGACTAAGGATGGTGAACAATTCCTTAAGTGTTTCTCTGCTATTGAGATTCTTCTGTTGAAAATTCTCTGTTTAGGTCTGTAGCCCATTTTTAAATCAAATTATTTGGTTTTTTGATATGTAGTTTCTTGAGTTCTTTCTATATTTTGGAGATCAGCCCTCTGTCAGTTGTGGGGTTGGTGACAATCTTTTCCCATTCTGTAGGTTGCCGTTTTGTTATATTGACAGTGTCCTTTGCCTTACAGAAGCTTTTCATTTTCATGAGGTCCCATTTATTAGTTGTAGATCTTAGTGTCTGTACTACAGGTGTTCTGTTCAGAAAGTTGTCTCCTGTGCCAGTGTGTTCAAGGCTACTTCCTACTTTCTCTTCTATCAGGTGCAGTGTAACTGGATTTATGTTGAGGTCTTTGAACCACTTGGACTTCAGTTTTGTGCAGGGATCTATTTGCAATCTTCTACATGCCAATATGCAGTTGGGCCAACATCATTTGTTGAAGATGCTTTCTTTTCTCCATTGTACGGTTTTGGCTTCTTTGTCAAAAACCAAGTGTCCCTAGGTGTGTGGATTTATGTCTGATTCTTCAATTTAGTTCCATTTATCAACGTGTCTGTTTTGTGCCAATACCATGCTGTTTTTATTACTATAGCTCTGTGGTAGAACTTAAGATTAGGGATGGTGATACCTCCAGAATTTTGATCCATTGGAATTAATTTTTGTGGAGGACAAAGATGCAAAGATGTGAGTCTACATGTTTCTACATGTTGATATCCTGTCTCCCTGGCACTATTTGTTGAAAATTCTTTTTCAATATATGTTTTTGGCTACCTTGTCAAAAATTACATGGCTGTAGTTTATTTCTGTATCATCTAGTTCATTTATATGCACACAGTTTTTGTTAGTGTGGTTGTGTAGTATAATCAGGTATTGTGTTATCTCCAGTGTTACTTTTTATGTTAAGGATTACTTTTCTAGTTGGGAGCTTTTGTGCTTCTATAATGAAGTTTTACTTTTTCTTTTGAGAGAGTCTCCTTAGCTCTCCCTGTTGGCCTTGGAACTCACTCTGTAACTAGGCTCACAGAAATCAGCCTTCCTCTGCCTCCTGTGTGCTGGGATTAATGTTGTACATCACCATGCCTGGCCATGTGTGGTATTATTAATGAGTTCTTGAATTGGTTTGTAGATACCTTTTTTGGAGAAATTTTGCACCTGTGTTTTTTTAGGGAAACTGATCTATTCTTTTCTTTTGTTGTTGTGTTCTGATCTGGTATCAGGATAATGTTGACTTTGTAGGATGAGTTTTGTGTCTTTTATTCCCTTTCTGGTCTGTGGAACAGTTTCAGGAGTACTGATTTTAGAACTTCCTTAAATGATTGGTAAAATTTTGGAGTGAATCTATCCAGTTGTTGGCTTTTCTTTCTGAGGAGGTGTTTTTTTGTTTCCATCTTATTGCTTATTATTGATCTATTTAAATCATATCTTCTTGATTTAGTTTTGATGGATCTTATGTTTTTAGGAATTTTTCTATTTTTTTTAGATACTCCAGTTTTTTATACATTCTGCCTACCAGTCCCGCCTATCCTTTCTCCTGCCTTGCTATTGGCCAGTTTTATTAGACATCAGGTGTTTTAGACAGGCACAGTAACACAGCTTCATAGAGTTAAACAAATGCAACATAAACAAAAATAACACGCCTTAAAAAATATTCTACTGCAGCTGAAGACTCCTGGGATCCATCCTTTGCTTCTGGATTGCTCCGTAGCTGGCCTATGGCGACACTGCGATTGGATCCTTGCTGTAGCCTCCTTAACACCTGCTGCCACTAGAACTTCAGGACGTTCCTGACCACCTTAACATAGTGGTCATCTGGAGGTGGCTTCCTCTGACTCGCAGGCTGCAGAAACTTCTTAACTGCAGGAATGTTGCTGATTCTTGTCTTAAATGCCTGCGGCAGAGGGAAGTCAGACAGCACGGGAGGGCTGAGTTCTTCCACCATCAAAATGGCTTCTAACAGCTGAATGTCTGCCCAGCTGAGCTGGTTGCCAACAAGAAAAGCTTCCCCGTGGTCTTTTAAAATCTTTTCAAAGACCGGGAAGTAACAGGTTTTAGCTCTCTTCACGATTAAAGCATAGTTCTCCTCTTTATCCTCAGGGGGTTTGAATGGAGCAGAGGCGATCATTATCATCAGATCCAGGGTGCCATCAGTATACATGTCGATCCTGACTCTCTCCTTCAGGTCCTTCCCATACAAGTTGTACTTGACAGCAAGGTAGCTGAGGATGGCTCTAGACTGTGTCAGCAGCATTCCATCCATTTCAACCAAAGGGACCTGGTCAAAAAGCAGGCACCCATCCTTTTGCAACTTCTCATACTGTTCTCTTGTCTCAAGAAATTCTTCTTCAAACTCCACTCCTGCCCTAATGGTCATCTGGATTTTATTGGACTATTTTGTAAAATCCCTCTTTTTATTTCTATTTTACTGATGTGGGTCTTTTCTTTTTTTGATTTGTTTGCCTAGGATATTGGTCCTCCTCATTTCAAAGAACCATTTTCTTGTTTTGTTGGTTCTGTGTTCATTTAGTCCCATTTGATTAACTTCTGCTTCAATCTTTAGTATTTATTTTTTGCTATCTATTGCTGAAAGGGGTTTACCTTTTCCCCCTTTCCCCCCACCCCACTCCATGATATTGGGAGTGTATTAGAAGGGTATTTATTTGAAAATCTCACTGACTTTAAAAATGTAAAAGTTCATAGTTATAATCTTTTCTCTTATAACTGCCTGAGCTTTGGGTTTGTTGGTGTGATATCTATTGCCTGTATTTTCATGGATGTATCTAACTCCTTAGGTTGGATTTTTCCTTCTAGTGCTTTCTGTAGGGCAGGATTTGTGGATAAGTATTGTTTAAATCTGGCTTTATCATGGAATATTTTGTTTACTCTGTCTATGGTGATTGAGAGTTTTGCTGGATATAATAGTCTGGGCTGGCATCTGTGGTCTCTTAGTATTGGTGAAATTATTAAGGCCACTCCACGTAGTTAAAAGGGAGATTTATTTAGTGGTGTAACTTACAAATGAAGGGATAGGTAGGTGGCGGGTTCTGGGAAAGACGCAGCGCAGTCCGGCGGTGTTTTCTGGAGAACTCTCCTCGGTCCACCTCTAGAGTCCAGGGTCCAGGAAGCAAGAGAGGGCAGTGCATGTGGATCGCGGGTCTTCAGGGCCCTCTCTTGGCCCCGCCTTGTAGGCATAATAGTTACCGAAGCCTCAATAGGGGTTGGAACTTCCAGACCAAAGCTGGAATGGCTATCCACTACATCTTAGTGTTTGCGTAATATCTGTCCAGGATCTTCTGGCTTTTAGAGTCTCCATTGAGAAGTCAGGTGTTATTCTTATGGGTCTGCCTTTACATGTTACTTGGCATATTTCCTTTGCAGCTCTTTATTTTTTTTATTTATTCTGTATATTTAGTGGTTTGATTATGATGTGGCAAGGGGACTTCTTTTTTGGATCCAGTCTATTTGGTGTATTGTAAGTTTCTTATATCTTCATAGGCATTTCCTTCTTTAGGTTTCGAAAGTTTTCATCTATGATTATGTTGAATATATTTTCTGTGCCTTTGAGCTGGTATTCTTCTCCTTCTTCTATCCCTTATTATTCTTAGGTTTGGTCTTCTCATGGTGTCTAAGATTTCCTGGACATATTATGGATGTGGGGATGGGGGTAGCTTGGGAGGGAGGACAGGGGTGGGGGACTAGGTGGGAGGAGGAAGGAGGTGGGATCTGTGGGTGGTATGTAGGGTGAGTAAAAAATTTCTTAATAAAAAAATTAAAAAAAATTGCCTGAGCTATATCCCATAGCTTTTGGTAAATTGTGCTTTCAGTTTTCACTTTGAATTTTTTATTTTTCCTTATGATTTCTTCCATGGCCCATTTTAGTCATCCAAGGATGTATTGTTCAGTTTCCAAGTATTTATGATTTGTGTCATTTCTTTTGCTGTCAACTTCTTGTTTTGTTTCATTGTGATCAGTTCTTTTGTATGCGTGAGTGAAGGCTCCATTGATCACTTACAAGAACTGGGAGGAGAGGAGTCGGGGGGACTATGGCTGGGATATAAGAGAAATAAATAATTTATTAAAAAACATAAAAAAGTACATCTGGCTTTGAGGTTTGTGAAGACAGGTGGACTTGTCCCAAAGTAGGCCTTCCAGTCTCTTTTGAGCAGGGTCACCTATGTACCTTACCTTTTGAATGTGGCTTCTGCTTTCCCTAAGTTCATCAGGGAGACATGTGGCTGTAGCTGTGTGTTTGGCTTGGCTTCTCTTTCTTGACAGTTTTTAGCTGTTCAGTCAGTGCCACTGAGTTTCCAAAGCTCTTGGACTTTCTTGGTTTGGAATAGTGTATTCTTGCTTATCCCATCTCATGTCTTTAACTGGGTCATCCAGAAGCTGTTTTTAGTCTGATGCCTTACCACAGTTTCATTTGTTGGTATCTAAAGTTGAAGATTTGGTGTGGAAGAGTAGGATGGGTATCTTTTCTCTTTCAATCTCATTGGTTCTTTTAGTTCATGTAATATGACCAGAGAAACATTAAAAAGAAAATTAAATGTCAAGCCAAACAATTCTTTGAAAGATTTGTGTACGTTCAATTATTTTGACTACATTATTTTATGAATGCTTGGTATAATCTGAATATAAAGTTTATTCATGCCAGATTCGTATTGTTACTGTTTCAGCTTTTTAGAAATTCCCTTTGAAAGGGAAACCAGTTTACTTCTTTTTTCACCTAAACCTTTTATTATTATTATTATGTTTTCTCTGTGTAGCCTTGGCTGTCCTGGAACTTACTATGTAGACCAGGCTGGCCTTGAACTCAGATCTGCCTGCCTCTGCCTCCTGAGTGCTGGAATTAAAGGTATGCACCTTTATGCTGGGCACAACTTTTTCTTTATTAAAATTTCTTGACTGTAGACGTCACGGTCTTATTCAATAAGAAACACAGAGCCAAATGCAGAGTTAAAAGCCCAAGAGGTCAGAGCAGTAGCTAAGAGCTGAGACTTAAAACCTCCTTCATACCCTTCCTGCCGCTGCTGTCCTTCCCCTCAGGAAGAGACCTACTTCCTGTGTATCTGTCTTTTTATTGACTTTCTGTTCTGCCTTCTCATTGGTTGTAAACCCAACCACATGACCTCCTCGTCACTGCCTGTCTATACAGACCTTCTGGTTTTCTGTGGTTGGTATTGAGATTAAAGGTGTGTGTCTTCATGCTGGTGGTGTCCTTGAACACACAGAGATCTGTCTGTCATGTGATCAGGATTAAGGGCATGTGCTACCACTGCCAGACTTCTGCTATGGTTTGCTATTAGCTCTGACCCCCAGGCACTTTTATTTATTAACATACAAATAAAATCACATTTCAGCACAAATATCACCATACTTAACCATATTTTTGGAGTTTCTACTACCTACTGTGCAAAAGAAGACAGTAATTGGTGTTCTCCAGCATACTTTTTTCAAAGTTTCAGGTTAATCATGCTTTTATTTTAAGTACATTTTCTGACTCTTGACTCATTGATTCTTGCTTTAAGATGTGCCTTTATTATGTTTTTTAAATAAATAATATTTCTGAGAAATCATCTACTGTAGATTTCTACTAGCTTGTTTCTTTTTCTGTCTGTATGTTGGAGGTGTGTGTGTACACCCTCATTGCTGGAGATTGAAATCAGGACCTATACATGCTAATTAGGCTCTCTTTCTACTAATTAAAAACATGATTTCCTCTGTCTTCCAAGGTCTGTTCTACCAGCAACATGATTATTGAATCTATAATTTTGTTATCTTGCCTAAAATTTATGCATGGATACCTCTCCTAGTAATGCTTACAGTATTGGTCTCTTATTTTCCTGTTAAATTCATTTGGCTTCATTCCTACAACAGTCATTGTCAACTTCATCATATTTCTTGCCTGCATCTAGTTGGATTTGCTGTAATATACCGACTATATGTCCATCTTTGGATAAACTCCAGTTACTTTCAGTGCATTTCCTCAGTGATCATTCTTCATAAGGCGTGAACCCTTCTTAAGGATAGAAGAGGCAATCTTTGTGTATCATAAGCTTGTTAACACTTAGTGGATAGCTACATAATATTTAAATGGAGGAATGAGTCCTTAGCTGTTTCAGGTCTGTTATTTCTTTATTTTTTTCCACATATTTTTTCCAGGATTTTTTTTTTATTCTTCATTGCTCCCATCCCCCTGGTGTGTGTGTGTGTTGCTTAATGTAACTGGTGTTTGACAGCTAGGCTTATGATTTCTCTGAAGATCACATGTCTGTTGATGCTTAGGATAGACAAAAGCCTTTCTAAGATGCTTAAACACAAGAGTGCCTATGTTCTACCACAGCTGTCATTTGAAAAAAACTTCAGATACTGAAGCTTGCTGATTGTTTAGAGTTTCACTGTATAGGAAATAGCTTGTTATATAGTTTAATAAACGTTTTAACTCTTCAGTATGGCTACTTTAAACTACTACAGTAACTGAAGATACCCCATTCCTCTGGTTATTTCTGTTTTCATCTGTGAAATATGTAGCCTTTAAAAATGTTCCTGAGAAGATTCTCCTCTTAAGGAGGGACACAAACTTTGAAAATAAGCCATTAAAAATAGTTTTACCTTACTATATATTACTATGGTTGATGACTTTACTAGAAATGATATGTAATTACTTTTGAACTTAAATGTATCTCATCTGTTTCAGGATGCTTTAATCTGGATCCCAATAGAGTTTTGGATGTAATTTTAGAAGTGTTTGAATGCAGGCCAGAACATGATGACTTCTTTATATCTCTATTAGAATCTTACATGAGTATGTGTGAACCACAAACACTGTGTCATATTCTTGGATTCAAATTCAAGTTTTACCAGGTAAAAATGTGTATATATGTATATGTATAGGTTAACTATTTTATATGTTTAGTTTGTTTTATTTTTTATTTGCACTGTATTATTTGCTAGTTTCACTCAAATATTTAGCTGAAGAGATAGAGAAATGGAAAGCTAATGATGTTATGATTTATATTATATATGATTATATTATATGATTTATATTAACAATTTAAATGATCTGATGAGAAAGTCTGGAGAAAAGCAAAATTAAATTTTGCCTTAGGAGAGACAGGGTCTGCTAATACTTGAAGGAGGAGTAATAGTGTGTTGAGAGTTTTCCATTCAGAAATAAACTATGGTACTAAAGATTAGTGGTGTGGGCATATGTAACTTATTGAAAGAATGGTCTGTAGTCTCACATGCCTGGATTGTAACAAGGGAAAAGGAATGGTAGAAAATTGTCTCTGGGTAGGCAAATGCATATTAATTGTCATAGGCCTTTGACTACATGCTATTTTAGGATTTGATTATGTATATGAATTATGTATTAGAATTTTTTAGGGATGCTAAAAAGTACTTGAAGTGTATTTTACATCACTTTTTAAAAAAACTAAACCAGTATAATAACTGTAAAGATTTCCTATTCTCTGGTTATTTCTCTTTCAGTCTGTCTTATTATTGTTAGTGCTATTTTCTAAAAGATTTAACCGAGGTGCCTACTACTGAAAAATCATTTCTGGTGGTATTATGCTTTTACTAAAAAAATTAGCTACAGCTGCTTCTCATTTTCTT